GCACCCTTGCTGCTGAATGGATGTGCTGGTAGAGGGGATAAAGAGCATCAGCAGAGTCTGACCTGAATATTCATCTTCACTTGAGCGACTTCAATCTAAGAGAAGAAGGAACTGTGTAGATAAGGTGAATAAGGGAGAAGGTGTGTGCGACCCAGCCCTTAAAATTGCCTTGCAAAAGCATCATTGGCCTTAGCAGAGGGCAGATCAGAGGTTTAATAGCATTGGCTATAATTTCCCACAGAGCTGTGTGTGTGTACATAAATATATACATTTGTTACATATATATTTGTTTTATATTTATATATGAAACTCCCTTGTGTCCATATATATAAAACAAATATATATGTAGCATATCTATATATAACATATATACATATATAAAAAATAAATACAGTCATATGCCGCATAATGACAGGGATACATTCTGAAAAATATGTCATTAGGTAATTTTGTCATTGTGAGAACATCACAGACTTACACAAACCTAGATGGCATAGCCTACTACACACCTAGGCTTTATGGTACTAATGCTATGAGACCACTATCGTATATGCAATCTGTCACTGACCAAACGTCATTATGCAGTGCATGACTGTCTATAATATATATACACAGATTCATAAATATATATAATAAAACTATAGTTATGTAGTATATATATGGTTTATATATATAGTATATATGCTTTGTATCTGTTCATTTTTCTTTGATTAATCTAGTGCCAAGGTTTTTATGATTATGGGGCCCTTGGAGTCTATTCACAGAACAAACTTGAAACCTGTGATTTCTAAGTACTAAGTGCCACTTCTTGCCTGTAAACCAGATTGTATTTCTCAACACCCTGTAAACAGGTCAAACTTTTTGATGACAACTTGCATTTCAATATGATGTTACCTCTGCCTTGAAGATTCTCCTCTCACTTCTCTGACACACTTTTACTCATCTTTTAGATACAACTGAATTGCTGCCTTCTTGTTAAAGCTTTTCCAAATTCCTTCAGGCCCGTGGTTCCTTCCCTTATGCTCCCACAGAACTTAGTTTATCCCTCTATTATAGCATTTGGCACATACTGTAATTATCACTCTGTGTCTGTCATCCCTCTGTCTAGTGAGCTTCTGGAGCAGGTGTTGTTTTTATATCCTTAATGACTAACACAGACCTAGACTTAAGGTGCTCAATAAATGTTTGAATGACTGAAAGAATAAGTGAATGAATAAACTATACCACCTCATGCTTGAAACCTGCTTGAGTTCTTCCAACCGCCTTTTCTTTTGTGCTGCTTTTCTTTATCTTCTTCCCTGCCACATGTTCTCGTGTCCTACCTGGTAGATTTTAGAGCTTAGGAAATATGTGTTTAAAGATTAAAAATATAGTGCCTTGAACTCCTTAGAGGGAAAGTCTATGAATAAATAATTAGACTCATTTCACATCAAAATCTAAAGTGTGAAAAAATGTTCGCTATCATTTGGTGCTTTATTCACTTGCATGGTAATCTAATGGCATATCCATTGTTATCACTGAACTATACTGAAATATTTTACTCTTGGGGCTTTTCATCTGACAAAAGGAGGCTTTTTGAAAATGGAAAAGCATAGTTCCTGTTCCTGGTATGCTAAGGGACAATTTATTAGTTTTGTAACACATGGGTTAATATTACCATTTTTTATATTGAACATTACTTGGAAAAATTCCTATTAATATCACTGCAGCATGTATGTATATAAGTCCTGTCATCTTTGGGGTATGTAAATCAGGAATGTTGCTGAAGAGCTACTTAGCATTTTCTTGGGGGTGAAGTGCTTAGTTTTGGAATTTAATTGTAGGTTTTACATTTAAGCTGTTCAGTATTACTCTTATAAAGGTTCTATAAATTTCTTGCTTTGTAGTTTAACAGGTTTAGTCACCACAGTTGAAAGGCATCATCCTCATAATGAAGCCAGAAAAGAATAAAGGTTGATCATGCAGGGCTGGCTGGCTGTGACATTGAACAATAGAGCTTGACTTCTTCATGTCTGTTAAATTAGACTATGGGGTGTGCTTATCTTGCTGCAATGATATTGAATTGTAACAAGAAAATGTTATGTTGTACAGCTCTGCAAAGGGGGTGTGCATCTATTCTCACTTCATGTGTGTGGGAAAAGCTTTAAAACACTACTGAAGCTGCCTTGGGAGCTTAAAGTCTAATGGCACAGATTGGGCGTAATAGTGAAACAAAAATACATGAAGAAAAAAGTGCAAAGGCTTTTAAGTATGTTGTAAATTTTTATCCATTGCAGTCTTTCTTTAAAGGACTAAAGGCAGCTCAGGAACGGTATGCTGGAGAAATTGGATTTTAAGAGGTTTTTGAAGGAGATAAATCATATGACCTGGGGGAAAAATGAGAGGATACTATGTTGTATAGGTGACAGATTTATTCTAAAGTTTTCTATGTTTATACTTGATACAGTTCAATCAGCTCCCTAAATATTAATGAAATATCGTCTATGTTCCCAACACTGCTGGTTACCATAGGAGGTTTTGAAAAAGTGTGTGATTCAATCCTGCTCTGATGAATTTGGTATCTTTTTTGAGGAGACAAAAATTAAATCCATGAAATAACTTCTTAGAATTGTTGGATGTATGAATGACAGTATGGTAAGCTGTCAAGATCGTTTAAAATTTTGATTCTGTTATTATATGTATCATCCCCAGATGTGTCACATGAGCATTTGATAGGCATCCCATTTATGTCTTAAGTCACTGCTAAAAATATTGAGAAGTCAAGGGCAAGGTTAGAGGCAAGAAAGAGACTTCTGACACTTCCCACACTTGTTCTTAGCACATATCTGTTGTCTCTTGAATGCTGAATTATTTTCTGAATATGTATAAATCACCTAGTTAATAATCTGTTACAGAATTTTATCATAGATGTTAAACTGCTGTTCAGGTTTTTTATGTACACTTATTTATCTTTTCCAAAAAGTCAAAATAGCATTTCTGTATTCCTGGTTCCTTTTTTTCCCTCCCATTTGTCATGAATCCTCAGTCTGATTACTGACAGAGGATTACAGACATAAGTTTTAAATTTAGTTAGCATGGTGGAACGTAGATTGCCCTGTCTGGAGATTCAAACTCTCTTAAAGTAGCTATTAGACCTTCTATTATTTGCTAACTTACTGTAGGCTGCATTTTCTTCTTTATGGTGTTTATCTGTCACTTCCTTTCTGAAGACCATTTTTTTTCCTGAAGAAGACTGAATTGAAGTAGAAAGTGTGTAGTGTCCCTGATGTCCATTTCCTCCTCCTTCTTCCTAGATAACAGGTTTTGTTTAGGGCAAGAATGTGCCCAGTGAAAATACTGTCTAGATTCCCTTGTAGCTTGTGACACATTATGGCCAATGAGATGTAAGGGAAGTTGCTGGGTGGAGTGTGTTAGGTAGCTGATGCTGCATAGCAATTATCCCAAAACTTAGTGGCTTAAAACAACAGTAAATATTTATTTTACACAATTTTTGGAATAAGTAACTCAAGAGGGCTAAACTGTGTGATTTTGGCTCGGGGTCTCTCATGAGATTGCAGTCAAGATGTCAGATGGGCCTGCAGTCATCTCTTAAGGTTGGACTTGGAGGATCTTTTAACCTAATAACAATAATAATAATAATAATAATAATAATAATAATAATTATACTTATAATAATGATTTCTGCCCCAGAAAGGTAAAGGTAAAATGTATAGAGCAGTATTATAGGCCAAATGCTACTTCAAGATGTTGATTAGAATTACGTCCATATTAATAGTCCCATTCCCTGATTTCTCTACTTTTTGAAATGTTAGGATACTTTGAATCTTCTCTCACTCCTATAACTTGCATTCTTTTGTAGAACTTTTGTAATCTCTCTGAGAAAGACATCCTTGTCCTCCATCTGACCTAATAACCATTATGTACTCTCACTATTTGACCTAAAACACACAAGAAATAGTATAGGATACTACAAAATTAAGTGCTAAATTGATCATCAACAAATGTAAAATCTTCCAAAGAAAGGCTACATATGTTAGGAATGAGAGAAATCAATGATGTCTAGAGGCAGGGAAGAACACATCATCGTATGAAGAGGAGACTGATTGAAACATGACTAACACCAAAGCAAGAGACACCTGGATGATGATAAAGAGACTAAAGAAAGAATTGATAACAGAATGTCCATTATTATATGTAGCTTTGAGACGAGAATTCATTTGCTGAACTATGAATAATAGCTTAATATGCATAGATTTCTCTTCTTTTAAGCAGTATTTCTCCCTAATACACAAATAGCTAAACATATAAAAGTGTCAAGAGGCTGCTAAGCATGATGTGTAATTAGCAGTATAGTTACGGGCTAAGATTAGGGAATGGTGTGGGACATCGGCAAGGGGACATGATGAGGCAAATGAGGCCTTAACTGATATTAAGGAGCTTGTCCCTCAGCACATCCTGGTCTTTGCCTGGTGGTAGAAAAAGCCTGAAACAGCTTATTTGGGGTCTTAATCTCATGGGAGGTGATATTTACTGGAAGAGAGAGGACCTTGGTAATATGATTCAGTAATAAGTTGGTCTTTGTGTTTGGTTTGAGAATATTTGGGGAAAATAAAATTTCTTAGTTGAAAGATTGCAGATTGCAGGATCTGTGTCCAATCAACAGATATTTATTGAATGTCAGTTATGTGTCCGGCTTAGTGGTCTTGATTTTCATTCTCGGAGCCCCCTGGATTTGTTTGTTCTTTCCATTATAGTCTCACTCACTTCAACAACCTAAGTTCAGACCCCGTGGCCTCCTTTCACCTCTGTCTTTTACCACTTGTATACGCTTTTTCTTGCCACGGGCTTGAGAAGGATTAGCCCTGAGCTAACATCTGCTGCCACTCCTCCTCTTTTTGCTGAGGAAGACTGGCCCTGAGCTAACACCCATGCCCATCTTCCTCTGCTTTGTGTGTGGGATGCCTGCCACAGCATGGCTTGCCAGGTGGTGCCATGTCCGCACCTGGGATCCGAACTGGTGAATCCAGGGCTGCCGAAATGGAATGTGTGAACTTAACCACTGTGCCACTGGGCCAGCCCCCACTTTCTTTTTCTATACATGCTTATTTGTCTCAATGTATTATAAAATGTGTAGTGTTGTTTAGGGTATGTATAGTGAATATATATAACAAGTATTATGCTAGAGACTATATTCTGTTTCTTGATTTTTTTTCATTCAACATTATATTACAAGGTTTATCCACATTGCTGCATATATTACAAGATTTATCCACATTGTTGTATGTTCATTCACATGGTTGCATCTGGTGAATACATAGTATTTCAGGATAATCATCCACTGCATTTGCCTATCCACCTCCCTGGATTGCCTTCAGTTCTCTACCACAATAAATGATGATGTGTGAGAATTTGTTTGAGCTACATACCTAGGAGTAGGATTGCTGGGTCATGGGGCATACATATATTTACTTTAACTAATTAAGTATTGCTCTGTGAATATTTTCACTAACTTTTCAGAACTAGTAATTCTTGGTGTTATTAGAGTTCAGCAGTTTTATGTATTGTATCTCATAAATCACTGTTACTAATTTTGTAAGTCAATCAAGTCCAACCAACTGAGCACACACATATAACTAATGTTACATGTAATTCACATCTGTAAGGGGGTTTTTCACTAATGATTACCTATAAGCGTATGTTATAAACTATTGTTCTCAGGCATTATTTTATGTTGCTATAAAACCCAGTCATAAATGGATAAACAAAATGTATATTTATTCAATGGAATATTTTTCAGCAATAAAAAGGAATGAATTATTGATGCATGCTACAACTTGGATGAACCTCAACATCATTATGCTAAGTGTACGAAGCTAGTCACAAAAGCCCACATTTTATGATACCATGTCCAGAACAGGTAAATCTATAGAAACAGAGAGTAGAAAGTAGAAAACAGAAATCGGTAGAGACAGACAGTAGATTAGCTTTTGCCTCTATTAGGGGACTAGGAAGTGAGTGCTAAGTGATACAGAGTTTCTTTTGGGGGTGACGAAAATGTTCTAAAATTGATTGTGGCAACGGTTGCACAAGTCTAAATATATGAAAAACCATTGAGTTGTATACTTTAAATGGGTGAACTCTTATGGCATGTAAATTGTATCTTAATAAAGCTATTAACAAAGCCCAAACACCTCAATTGGATCATTTTCCGAGAAGCAGTTTGGAAATTAGTTCAAGCCTGACCCCTTAGTTTCCTTCTTCCTTTGTGGAAGTAATAGCGGAACATTTCCTCCTCCTGTGGAACCTGAAGAGGAAGAACCAGCACAGTTTTGTCCCTGAGCTGTATCCTCCAGTTCTTTGAAAATAAACCCATACGTGTTATTTCAACCTACAGTCTCTGTGATGATATACCTCCAGCCCTGATCTTTTGTTTGGGTGTTTACAGTTAGGTTCAGGACATTTTTACTTGCATGACCCACCCCTGGTTCCCTTCTCAAATATCCAGTTTCTGCTCTACCCTCAGTTTTTATACCATGATGTTTAGAAAGCTTGGAGTTTTTTTCTTTTTCTTTTTTCTCATTTCTAGATCCAACCTTTTGTCATGTCATATCATCTTAAATTATTTTTCAAATATGCTTCTTTTTATTCACTGGACTTTACCCTGCCCAAAAGGAGAAATTTTTCAAAATTTTAGAAAAGATAGGATTGACAGATTTGTGCTAATTATAATTGTTTAAAAACAGCAAAGAAATTTCTTTTTTTGACAGTATTAACAAATATCTGACATAACACTTCTGTGAATAAAACGGGAAAATTCAGTTCTGATTTTTCTTTTGTTTTACATGTCATGTCATAGTCACCGTAACATTTGTGTTTCTCAAATCAGTTAAACTATGGTAGTTTTTAAGTAAAGTATCAAAATCCGTGATAACTAAGGGGTGCTCAAGTGACTTGAATGCTTCAGCTTGAGATGGGTCAGCTTTTGGGGTCAAGTTGTGAAGAGAAGCCATCACACACACTTCATCAACACTGTGGAATGAGAGACCAGTGCATTTACTGAGCAGTGGATTTCCAGTGAGCGTATAAACTAATTGGTGGATGAACATGCCCCAGGAGCAATGATTTTAAGGTCATAGCAGGCTCAGTGAATAATGCTGACTTACACTGTGTCTCACTGATAGCTGATCTTACCAATGAACAGTTTAGAGGCATTCAAGCCTGAACTCTCCTCCATGTGCCTTGAATGGCATGTCAGCGGTCACTGTTTTTGACATCCTTTATATTTGTCCAGTCAGCTCTAAATCTTTAGGTTGGGCTTCAGAGTACTCAGGAAAGAAAAGAGAAGCAATTATTTTCAGTCATTGAGTTTTGAAGATCTTAGCGTTAATTATGCCAAACATTGTTGGTTCATCAACAAATAACGTTAAAAGGCGGTATAAAGCATTCCAAACTTGCTTAAACATAGTTTCTGGTGATTAAGAATATCTTGTATACACTTACATATTTTTAAATACGCTTTTACCCATGCATGTTCACGTATAGTTTTGAAACAAAATATTCAAATTAAAGTTGTTTTCAACTTTGGAGGATAAATATTGAAAAAGTTACCACTTTTAATTAGCATACATTTTTTAAAATCATTTTTTAAAAAAGTGGAATAAAAAGTGCAATTCACTATTTCTGTGTGGAGCCCAGAATAATTTGGGTATGAAAAGTACTTCAATAAAACAAAATCCCAATGTTCTAGCTCTAGTAATACTTATTAAAAAATTATTTAAATAATAGTGGGCTTTGAGATTTAGGGATTTTTCTTCCACTTAAGTCTTTAATTTATAAAAGATTATTTAAGCATTAAAAATGTGCTTTACCTATTGTTTTCCAATCCCTGTGCTCTCTGACCTGTTGAAGTTGTGCAGGAAGTGCCCAATCAAAGGATTTGAGGAAGCGGTACCGAACATTCTTTGCAAGTGTTCATCTGAGAAAATGAAAGTTACAGGCTAGGCTGGTATTCTTGTTTGTGACTCAAATTTCAAAACTTACTTCCTATATGAATAAAATAAGTGAAAAGCAGAAGACATGTAAACTCCCTAAATCTGCTGGAATCTTATGTGTGTTAATGAAAAAGATAATTTTATTGTAGCAGAAGAAACACATTTAGTTCCTAGAGAGAGTATCATGGGTGTTATTCTTTTGTCGAAGTAGAGATTTGAAGTAGAATAGTTGTTTTGCATAACGTACACATATTATACTAGACACAATATTGAATGAGAACAGTTTGTTTCCAATACATTAATGATCAGAAAAACCATTACTCTAATTCTTGTTTTGTAAATCAAAAACAAACTAAAAAGATTTTTGTTTCTTGGAGGTCCATGTTCTTTGCAAGTGATGAAATATGTTCCGACGTTACTGTCATATTTTGCCTTTCATATTAAGATATAATAATGTCAGAATCTAATATAGAATTTAGATTCATTTGTCTATGTTAAGACAAAGGGATATAATTTCTAAAAATGGAGATGTTCATTTATAAGAATCTGGCTGCTATGAAAAGCAGTAACTGTTATCCTCATTGGTTCATTATGCAGTAAAGCATTATCCTCTTTTTCTCTTTATTCTTATGAAATATGTTTATCTTTTATTAAAATTTTCTATTTCAGATGGATAGATATGTAATAATATAAACATGGTAAAATGTTAATGATAGCATCTAGGTGGTGGGTGTATGGGTCTTCTCTGTAAAATTCTTTCACATTTGCTAGCTATTCAAAATTTTTTGTAATAAAATTTTGGAAAGAAGCTTGCTATTTTGATTGAATGTCTTAGCCAAATAGCCAAAATAACTTATTCCATTTTTTGAAAAAAATATAATAAATATTTTTTCTCTTACTTATTTGAGCAAAGCAATACAGATACAATATACTTCATATATCGGTAATATCACATATTTAACCAGTTAGCGAAACACAAAACTGATTCTTAATTGTAAATCTGTTCACTGTACCCCATTCATATTTGGTTGGTGGTTGAAAGAGCCAATTTGGGCATTTTTAACTGAACCAGGGCAATTGCATCAAAAGTAGATTTTTAGCTGGAATCATTTTCCATGTTGTTAAAGGAGCCATGATGAAATGAAGTGTTTGGAGAGTTTTAGGAATAAAATGTAAATGTGTATGAGGACCTGAGTTAGTTTAAAATAGAGTAAATTTTCTTCTCGGTTATTTCCAGTGTATCTTGGAGTGTGAAAAGCATCAATAAATCATGCTTACTAAGCTTCTAACTAGGCACAGTGCTGATTTTCTCAGATTTTAGAGAGAATATTTTGTCCTTAAAGTAAACAAATACAATAGCTGCGTCTTTTGGGTGTTTTTCTTATTGTTTTTATTCAGCTATTTGCCACACATGTGCCTGATGTATTAGTGACTCATAGAAGCAACGTTGAAATATAATGTGTGTATGCCCGACCACCCCTCGTTATTTTAGCACACTTAAAAAACACACACACGTTACTATTGTTCCTGCTCTGAAATCTTTTTTTGGCAAACTTGGCTTACAGAGCTTTAATCTTAGATAAATACTGGAGTTTATTTTACCTCCACTAACAATGGAGTCTCTGAGTTTGTAAGTCATCATGCCTTTCATATTCCAAGGTAGGATTCTAGAGATGATTTTTTTAAAGTAAAATTTGTTTTTAATGTTATGAGTATTGTGATCTGTTCTCACATGACTCTACCAGTAGCTTCTTTTTATTAATGAAAATAAAGACTTGTGAAAATAAAAAAATCATTAACCTGGTCCTTGCATTCATTAGATATATTTACTAGTCATCTGTGATTAGTTTAATTACCATCTCTTTGGGATCCTGTAGCCATTATTACATGTCTTTCGAGTTATGATATCATGCTGTGGGAGAATGGCTCAGCTGCAGATTTTATGTGCTTTTTTATAGTTGTTCACAATATCCTATGCTAAATTATATGGTGAATTATTATACATTAGCTAGTTAAAAAGATGTGTAATTGATTCACTATGCTAAAATATCAAAGACTATATGCTACAGGAGTGATGCTTCCAGTTAACAACCTATCATGTATTCATAGAGACAACAATGCTTGTTCACATATTGGCAATATTATTTAATTTGGTGTGCCCTGTGTTGTAATTCAATCATCTATTATTAAAATAAATATGACTATAGGGAGCATAACCACATACAAACCCGTAAACATACATATGTACATGTTTACTTAGACTCACTATATAGTCAATGAGTTTTTTGTCTTACCTGCTATTAATACTTGCACTAGTGAGTTATAAATGGAAAAAATGTATTAGCTTTAAGATAAAATAAAATAGATTTTGATGCAGTTCAAGTGAACCATCTCATTTAAAATTAGCCCAGGGGTCTTGTAAAGAATGCAAGTAATCTAAACATAATAATGCACATTGCCCAATTGCTTCTGTGTATGATACAGGTTCAGCGCTGTAGTGCTTTGACAGCCCATTACTGAATGTAATGAACAGCTATTTTTAAACAGAAGAAATTCAAGTTGACAGCTTGGCAATGAAATTCAGCTAGTGGGATAATTTTTGTCATCTTTAGTATAGAGAATGGATTGGATTTGGTTTAAGGAAATTTGTATCATGTAGTTTATAGAGCACACATTTTTATTAAAAGATAATTTTGTTGTCCATTTTTGGGGCCAGAAGTTACTGTTAGAGTATGGAATCAGCTTTTAATGCATATTTTAGTGAATAACTGAGACGTCATCTCTAGAACCTAGGTTTAAAATAAAATTTACCCTTTTTATTTCCTTCCATGGGTGAAATATTCAGTCTAGTAAAATGACTATAAGAGTGACTATAAAAGGTGTTTTTCAGTGCTGCTTTTTAGTCTTTTAGAATTTAAAAGAAGTAGCTTTTTAGAAATAAGGGAGTCTTTGGAAATGGACATAATGCTTGAGGCAGTGTTGTCTTAATGGAAGTAAGAATTAGACAGAATAGCATGGGGAGAAAGAAGGAAAACATCTGCCTGACAGTATATTTTAGAGAAATTCTTTTACCGGGGAAGAAGGGATGGTAACATCTGATTTTGACAACTCTTGTAAGAGTTAGAAAGGTTGTTCTGCAACATTCAAATAAAATAGATATATTTTTAAACTCATACCATAAGAAATAACAGGGTAAATTAGAGTCAGTTATTTCATTTGCTCCTGCTTACAGCAAAAATTGAGAAATTTAATTGCTGTTTTTCCTAAGCTCAGTTAATTATTAGGGCTTTTAAGATAGAAACTTTAGGTTCCACATTGAGGATTTGTGTTAAATTTAGTCTGAAAAAAACAGCAATACATTATTCAATGAAATTTGGGTGAGTTAAGTAAGTAAATTGAGTACTTTATTTAATATCCAGTCATATTTCTGGCCCAACCAATGTAAGAACCTAAGTCTGTAGCAATGCTGGAAATTAAAAAATTGTCAGTCATCCCCTTCCAAATACATTGTCAGAAACCTCCATTCCTGTGTCCTCATCACCCTTCCATGCTTCCAGGGCACCTCATCTGGGTCCACAAGGGGCTGGCAAGTGAGTCTGAGATCCCCAAGGGGCTCGCTTTGCTTGGGTACTGTGCCTTAAATTAGGAAAATAAAGCAAATCATCTTTAATAGCCAGTAGACTTTTCTATTTCTGATCTATTTCTCTATTTTACTTATTTCTTGAAATACATAATTGCCCCAAACATAATGTAGCAATGAATCTGTGTACAAGTCAAGCACTTTTGGAGAGGCTTTCATGTTAGGTCACAACTGTACTCTTTAGAATTGTATTATATCAGTGAATCAAAAGAATTTCTTGACATGAAAGAATTGGTACACCTCAATAAACATTTCATTTAAACCTAGAGAGGATATTGTTCATCTAACAGGATCAAGCTTATTTCTAGCAACAATGCCATCAGTTTGTTGCCTGAACTTTGAGCTCTTGATTTTGTTGTGAAGTGACTCTCTTGAAATCTTGGTGTACCTGTGCATAGAGGACCTTGTATGAAGGAGAAGGGCACGATAGCATTAGCCCTGCTTCTCTATGGTATCGTGGGATGCTAGCCCAAATACCTGAAAGGTATTTTCACTTTCTTGATTACAGAATAACTTGAGAAGCCACCCATGGTACCCAAGTGTTGGATTAATAAAATAATTTGTTACATTTGGTGATATTATTCATGAGGAAGAGACCATTGGCACAGTGAAAGCAGGACTGGTGATGTCAAAACCAAGCCTAGAGATATATTTTTTAGAAGGAAGCTTAGCTCTGAAGATGGGCAGGATGAAGGATATTACCAATAATTCCGGTGGATGCTTTCTGTATTATCTGGCTACATTTTCTGTCTACTCACCCTTTGAACTGTACTTTCAGGTCTGTGCAGTGCAGGAAGAGGAGAAAAAATTGTGTTGCCATGATATACTATGGAGGACTTGAGGAAAATAGGATTTGTCAGTGATTTGCAAGATACTAAGAAGGTTTCCAATCCAATTATCATCCATTGCAGCTGGAAGAATTTAATGGGATATGGTCCAATGAAACACTCTCGTTGAGAAGTTCTTTACATAGACTTTAGTGTCTTGAGAGTCAATATTTTGTAGTTAAGAAACATTCTTCTGGAGCTTGACTGCCTGGGCTTGAGCCTCATCACTTACTAGCCGTATATCTTTGACCAAGTTATTTAATTACCTTGTTTCACAGTTTTCTTATCTGTAAAATGATGAAAATCACACCTAACTTCCAGGTTTAATGTAATGATCAAGTGAGTTAAACATTTAAAGTTCTTAGAACAATGCTTGGCTTTTAGAACGAGCTTATTACACATAATCTATTATTGTTTTAAAATTAGTTTTCTACTTACACTTAGATTTTTATAATTTTTAAAATTAATTTCCGAATCTATTATAGCTTGAATGCTCTGTGTTCAAGACTGGGTCTTAATGGAAGGTTAAAGTTATCAGGAATCCTGACTTTGAAAAAAGAAAGTCAAAGTGAACTCAGTTCAATTTGATTAATATTTATCAATCATAAATGTTAAGTAGCATAAGGTGGTTTATAAAATATGGAAATCATGGCTTCTACCCTTTTACTAAACTACTTGAGAGTAGAGGACATGCTATATGCTGCCTCTCTTGTAAACTGACTTGTGTGTCGTATAATTCAAATATTTGTTCAATGAAAGTCACATCAACAACGAATCCTAATATATTGTTGGTACAAATTAGACACTTGATAAATACAACTTGAGTGAAAGGATATTTATTTATGTTTCTGTGTGTATATGAAAATAAGTGTTCATTATTTTCAGGAGTGTGTAATTAAATTAAGTAGAAGACTTTTAGCTTAGATATAATTAGAAGCATCCTGACTATAGGGTTGGGAAACATTCTAGTCCTTTACTAAGAGAAATAACAGAATCTATATAATTATAAAGAATAGGTTATCAGTTGATATTTAATTCTTTATTTGCTATAGAAGAATATTTAGATCTTTCTTGAGAGACCATCAAGCCATTTTACCCTGTAATTCTCAAATTTATTACATAAATTTGTACATTCTTGTGAAAGAAGAAGCAAGAAGACCTTAGAATAAAAAGATTTAACAGCCAAGTTTACCTTTTCTGCATGTCATCCCTCCCTCTTTTGGGGGAAAGCAACCAGGGAAATGAAAGAAATCACTTCCAATAACTCTACCCTTTTTTTGCTTTAGTGGTAAATATGTTCCGGGAGATCGGGCTCATAAGAAAAAATATTTTGGCTGACGCAGCCTCCCTATCCTTACTTTCATGATCTTGACTATTATTGGAGCAGAAGTCCTCAGGTGAAATGCTCCCCCCCCCCCCCCGCCCCGCCCCCGACTCTTTTCTGGGAGATCAGTAATCAGTTATCCTCTTTTCCTATTTTAAGACTCCTCTTTCTCCAGCCCAAGTATGTTTTATACAGAGCTAGTGTCTGGGATACTAACTCTAACTCATTCAAGCAGGCTTCTATGCTGTTTTATTAAAATAGATTCTATTTAAAATGATTAGGGAAGTATAGAATTCATAAGACAATTATTGCTTAGGTTGCAGCTAATGTTCACATTGATCAGCATTCATCATAAAGACGGTTGAGTAGAATTTATGTTTGTATGTATGTGTGAGTGTTTTGAGAAGGTAGTACGCTCGTATAATTCCAAGTTCAAGATGTCTGAAAGAGTATATACTATGAAGTCTCCTTCCCATCCCTGGCCTTCATCACCTTAGTTCCCCTCCCTGGAGGCAACTGCAATGACCAGTTTCTTTTGTATCCTTCCAGGGTACAAACAAATTGCATTTTCTGCATACAAACAAAAACATATATGGTTGGATGTATTTTGGGATACTTAAAACATGGAGATGACTTTCCTTTTGTAAGTCTATCTCTTTCTGGAAGACCAAGAGATGAAAACTTAAGGAAGGACAAGAGCTCTTTCTGAAAGTACCAACTTGCTTTAAGTCATATTTCTTAGAAGTGCCCAGTATATAAGAATCTTTGAAAATAGAGATAAATAAGGAGAGGAAACAGAGATGGATTAGAAAGTCTCAGTAATTGTTTTCCTCTTGAAAATTCTCTTCTCAAGACAGAAATTACAGATTTTACAAAGTTGAGACAGTTAGTTCCTCTGTGACTTGCTGAAAGATAACATGGTCTCTCTGAAAGCTAACAGTGAACCCAAGATTCCCTTGAAAGCGTGGAGCAGCATGCACAAGGGTATAAAAAGGAGCATGCCCAGTTTTGGAGTCAGATTTATCTGAATTTGGAGACCAGCATGAGGACCTAATAGCTTTGTGACTTTTAACCAGTGCCTGAGTCACCTCCTGAGACTCAGTAAATTGGAAGTAATCAAACCAAACCTTGTGGTATCTTGCAGAGGATTAAATTAGATAATGTAAGTGAAATAATGTCTGACACAAAGTAGGATACTCAATAAATGTTAGCTTTTTTCTTTGCCAGTTCACCATTATATTTAAGATGAAAAGGTCTGCTCTCCACAGATTGTGGTGTTTAGTCTTACTGTGTTTCTTATAATTGAAAACAGCGTTTAGAAAGAAGTTTTTAGATATTCATCTTGCAAATGTCCAAATTTTTTTTAACCTAACAACCAGCTTTTGTGTAGTGCTTTAACAGTTAACAAAGTTAACTTTCTATTCTGTAATCTCTCTCTGAGGGAGATGAGAGAAATGGATGAAAGGAGATTGTAGATGAAGACATCTATAGCAATATTTGATAGATTAAATTATTTAGAATGTTTGTTCTCTTTCTTTTCAACCCAGTTGGAGTTATATAGGGTTTCCAAAGGCCATAGTGGTGGACATAAAGAAGAAGACTAATGGGGGTACAAAGACTTTCAGATTAGACTTAACTTCCCAAATATAACATTAAGACAAATAGTGAGAAAAAAAAATCTCTGAATTTTAAGTGACAGATAAACAAAAACACCAACTTTTTGACTTTTAGTTACACTAACTCACTGTGGGATCTGGGCTAGTCATTTCACCTTTGTAGTCCTTAGATTTCTTCTAAAAAACAAACAAACAAAAAAGATTTGGGAATAGTACCCTTTACAGATCCCCTCAGAATTATAGCTGTAAGCACTACGTAAATTCATAAAAAATAGTTTTGAAGACCAGCTTTAAAATTTCAATAGTTATTGTATATTCAAAACAGCTGCAGAAGCACTTTATTTTCATTTTAAAGATTTATAATTAAAGTGATTTTATGTGTACCTCAAATGCCTGATTATATACAAACCCGTTAACAGGGTTTATGCACACATTAAATCCCTTCTTATTATGGGGTTTTGTGCACCTTAAATGCCTGGTTGTTATAGATTGTTGTTTTTCTTGTTACCATTAAATGTAACATTTCCCTAGGTGATGAAATGTATTATTATTGGGAACATTTATTTTAGTGTGTGTTCTGTATTTTAAAAGAGAAAGGTATTTAAACAGCAAAGACGTAGCTGTTATGAAATTTATTTTTTATAAATAGCTTTCAGCAGAAATCAGAGCAGTACTTTAAAATTACAGTTAAAAAAAGAATTTAATCATCACACTCCTTGTTGGCTAATAGGTTACTAAGTGACTTTTTTTTTTTCCTGCAATAGGCTATTCTTGATCTGCTCACTAAGTGGACCTAAGAGTACTAGTATATTTTATGTTAGCAAGCCTTGATAGCAAAGTGCTGAAAGTTCAGGGGGCATTTGTCTCCTTTCTCACAAATTCATTTAAGTACCAGTCTTGCTGGAGCTCTAACTGGGGCAGACAACCATACAAATGACTTGAGATAAAATGAAAATAATGGACTGAGCTGGGTTCTGGGATGGTAGTTATGCTGAACACACATCAATGAGCTTTGAGTGTGATTCTATGCTAATGCAAGCCTGATGGATCAGCTTTCTCTTTTAGCCTGGAGGACCATTAAGCTCTGGAAGCTAGGTCAAACTGATAGAGTCTGCAAATATAGCCCATCGGTTAGCAGCAGTAGTTAACTGACTGTGATTTCTAATGTGCGAAACTAACATTGCTTAAAAACCCTCTGTGATCAGGACATAGATCAGGAGGAAGGTAATAGATTCTGTTTTAATTTGCATAATCAAAGCTTCTCATTTTTCCAGCTATAGATAATGTAAGAGGGGAAAAAAGTGAGCTGTGATTGCTTCCATTATGTTGTTGATCTTGAATCACAGCAAATAATTTCCATAAAAATGTAAATAACTTGTTTCAAAAGAAGAGTATAATTGAAAGATTTTCTGTGTTATTTCTTTGGAATTAAACTGTAGGCACAGTTATGCAGGTTAGATAATGAGGATCTTGGGACTATGAAATGTAAAAAAGTTTTTAAAAAAATTGTGAGTCTTTTTTAGTGATTTGCTTCAAACATTAAAACTTTCCTGCCTGTGATAAATCAGGGTTCTTTTAAGGTGTGAGCTTTGAAATAGATGTAAATTAACACTATGACCAAAATGACAGAGAACTTGATCATTTCTGTTTCTCTCAAAGAAGAGAAAATGAAGTAATTTGTTTCATAGCAAAAATTAAAATGAATGACACCAGAATGGAAAGAATCCAGAGACATTGTTTACTTTTATGGAGCACAAATGCTAAGAGGACTCTAGTATTATAAAGAAGGGGGGTCTTTTACTCACTTACACTACCCTATTCCTTTTACTCTTCCCTTTTTCTGTCTAAATATACTGCAACTGGAGAGCAGTCCTGGTTTTGACTAATGATTATTTTCATATATAATATTTAAAGTTCTATACTTTTTGCTTGAGGATATTTGCATTGCAAACTTGCCAAAAACATTTACTTCAAATTCTCTTAAGTTCACATTTTTGTGATGTGGGAACTCTTTTTGTTCATTCATTTAAAAATATTTATTGAGCGCTCATTATTTCAGGCATTGTCTTCGGCACTTGTGGTGTGGTTGTCCTCTTGGAGCTTACTTGTTTTTTTTTTTAAACAGAGGAAGCACAATAAACAAGTAAAGACATAATTTCAGAGAGTGATAGGTTCTTAAGGGGAACCTTTTTTATCTGGGAGTCTACTCTGACCATGTTTCTGCCAAATAGACTGAGATATCAAATATGCTGTTTTTTCAACCCCAGGTTTCCAGACTGTCTCAAAAATTTTTGAATGTAAAGAAAATAAGTACATTTTTGTTAAAGAAAAATTAAGTGCTTTCGTGTACCTTGTAATCCAGACTGATATCTCTATAAAAAAACCTACTAAAATTCTATATGTATGAATTTTTTTCTGAGTGCTTGTATATATATGTCTTCTAAGCATTTTACTCATTTATTAACTTATTTTAAAAAGTCTAAGAGGAGGTATTATTATTATTTCCAGGTGAGGAAACTGAGGGAAAAAACGTTGAATAGCTTGCCCAAAATTACATGGCTAATAAATAGGTGAGGTGGGATTAAAACCTAGACAGTTTGGGTCCAGAGTCAGTGTTCTTAGTCACTATTACTCTGTGGCAACCTGAAGAAATTTGTTTAGCTGAAATTGTGTTGCTATATTAAAATGCAAGTTCTAGCATGGCAGGGAATGTGTCTATCTTGTTCATCTCTATCCTTGCACTTAGTGCTGAACCTGGGCTATGGAGGGTGCCCAACAAATATTTGTTGAATGAATGGATGTAAATGAGTATTATATGCTTATAGGCAAAGTAATATTCTGTATCAAATTCTTTTAAAAATTTCTTTTGCTACTTCTGCTTTGCTGGTGCCCTAAGTATGTGCCTTGTGTGTATAATCCAGCACCAGTTAGAATGGCAATATGATTAGCTCCTAATGATGAGGTGAGGGGAGACCCAGAATTCCATGGCCTTGCTTAGTTCCAGACCCTGTCTACCCTAGGTATGTGAGATTTCTTAGTGGATCACGTCACTAAGTGATCACATCAGAATGAGCTCATATTATATCCTTTCAGAATACCTCCTACTCTTGTGTTCTGAAAGGGTTAATTCATTTTCAAAATATGAGCAGTTTTCTTCTGAAAGTGAGTTTACTTATAACAGGTAGAATGTAATCTGGCTTCCATAATGTTTGGAATAAAATGGAATAGCAGAAGCTTGCATATCTCCACTTCCTATTTTGTTTCCTTTCTTGCTGTGTCTTTGGAGAAGACAATAATATTGTTTTATAAGTTTCAAATTGGTATTAAATGATTGAGTGAATGGAGGGTTTCTCATATTCCAAGGTTTCTTTTAGAAGATAAAAATAAAACAAAAACATTAAAAAAATATATACATACACACTCATGTTGAGTTTTGAACAGTAAAGGATAAATAATAAAAATAAATCATATTCTCATCACTCAAAATAATTAATATTCCTATCATTTAAAGCTATTAATTCTCTGTTAACATTTTGGTAATTATCCTTTCATATAACTCTGTATGTATATTTAGGCACTTATGTAAATTTTAAATGAATGAGTTTATATTTTGCATATTATTGGATAACCTGCATTTTTGCATATTATTTTAATAATAGGTCTTGGATATTTTTCATGGCAATGAACATTATGTGAACATCATTATTATTTTTAATGACTTAACATTCTGTTGTTTGGATTTATCATTCTTTAGTTGGCCTCCTAATAATAGACCTAAATTCCTTTCTTCCTTTTATTTTTGGTGTTGCAAAGAAAATTGCAGTGAATACACACACACACACAGAAATTGTTGCTGGATCAAAGCCTGCAGTACCACAAACCTCTTTCCTTCTCTCTTTCTCTGTTTCTTTTTTTCCAAACTTTTCTTTCCTTCTTTCTAGGCTGCTTGATAGGCGGTGTTATTCTCCTCTGCCAGGAAGCGCACAATGTCTGGTTGAAAGTCTTATTGTAATATCACGTCCTTGATCAATGCCACCAGTCTCTATGTCATGTCTTTCCAGTCATTTGAGTTGTTATTTTAGTTCCTGGATTTGCATAATAAACTACTTCAGAACTTAATGGCTTTGAGTGACATCAGCAAGATAGTGGCATAGGAAGGCCTAGACCTTGGGCGACACTGATTTAACATAATATACTGTCCAAAAAGCCTTTATGAGAACTTCAGAAACCAGGTAGGAAGTTGCAGTACTGCAGGCAAATTCAAAGCCAAGAAGAGCCATGTTGAAATGGGTAAGAAAAGCTGTTTCATTTCAACCATGTCATCCCCTCCTCCAAACCAACATAGGCCATGGTCAGGAGGAAGAGCCCAACTTGTGGCTTCTCCCTTTGGAGAGAAAGAGAAGTGTGGAATGTACATCCAAGTTCTGGCTTTTTAGGGGAGTTGCCTCAATCACTAGTTTCTGTTTTACGTGGCTCTAAGTGCTGAATGTGTTGGCATGCCTTGGATGCCTGGGAGCCACAGAGTACAAAAGAGAGCTTAGTGGCTTTTGCAGTGCCAGAGACCCTGAAGTACCACAGACAGACACCAGAGGGAGCAAGAGACTACAAGCTACTGAAAAAACTGACAACCACTCTAATTGGGGAATTATATGCACAAGCCCAGAGAAGACATTTCCCCATAAAAGATTTCAGAGGCCCCCAGAATCTCTAGCTGGGCTGATAGATGATGAACTTCCCTGTACAAAGCTAGTGTTAAAAACTGAGAGAGGTAGCTGTTTTTTCAAATGCATAAATCACAACAAAAATCAGCAAAGCACAGGAAGAAACAGGGAAACATGGCCCACATGGCCCAAATCAAAGGAACAAAATAAATCTCCAGAAATTGACTCTAAAGAAATGGAGATCTATGAATTACCTGACAAAGAGTTAAAAATAATTGTCTTGAAGAAGTCTAGTGTGCTACAAGAGAGCACAGATAGACACCTAGGTGAAATCAGGAAAACAATGCATGAACACAATGCGAATACCAACAAAGAGATAGAAACTATAAAAAAGAACCAAACAGAAATTCTGAAGCTTAAGAATACAATAACTGAATTGAGAATTTCACCAGAGGGGGATCAAGAGCAAACTTTATCAAGCAGAAGAAAGAATCAGTGAACTCAAAGATAGGTCATTTGAAATTACCAAGTCAGAGAAACAAAAAGAAAAAAGAATGAAGAGAAGTGAAGAAAGCCTGAGGGACATATGAAACACCATCTAGTAGACCAATATCCACATTATGGGAGTCCCAGAAGGAGAAGAGAGAGAGAGACTGGGGCAGAGAGCTTATTTGAAGAAATAATTGCTGAAAACGTCCCAAATCTTAGGAAGAAAATGGACACCTAAATTCAAGAAGCTTAAACTGCTCCAACTAAGATGAACTCCAAGAGGTTGACACTGAGACAATTATAATCAAACTGTCAAAAGTCAAAGACGTAGAATCTTGAAAGAAGCAAGAGAAAAAGTGACTTGTCATGTACAAGGGAACTCTCATAAGATTATTAGTAGATTTCTCAGCAGAAGCCTTACAAGCCAGAAGAGAGTAGGATCATATATTCAAAGTGCTGAAAGAAAAAAAATTGTCAACGAAGAATACTGTCTCTGGCAAAACTGTTCTTCAAAAATGATAGAAATAAACAAAAGCTGAGGTTGTTTTTCACCACTAGACCTGCCTTGCAAGAATTGCCAAAGGGAGTCCTGCAAGTTGAAATGAAAGGACACTAGACAGCAACACAAAAGCATATGAAGGTATAAATCTTTCTGATAAAGGTAAATATTTAGACAAATCTAGAATCCTGTAATACAGTAGTGGAGTATGTAAATCACTTTTAATTCAAGTATGAAATTGATAAAAGCATTAAAAATAACTATAAAACTTTGTTAAAGACAAAATATAAAAAGACGTAATTTGTGACATCGGTAACATAAAGTAAGGGGATGTGAAGGAGGAGAAGAGTTTGTGAGAGAAGTTATCGGTTTAAAATAGACTGTTATAAGATGTTTTATGTAATGTATGTTTATGTTATGTTTTATGTAATCCCCATGGTAACCACAAAGAAAATACCTAAGAAGATGCACAAAAGAAAATGAGAAATGATTCAAAGCACATCACCAAGGATCAACGAAACACAAAGGAAGGCAGCAAGAGAGGAAAAGAGGGACTAAATAACTTCAAGACATACAGAGAACAGTTAACAAAATGACATTAGTAATGCCTTCCTTACCAGTAATTACTTTAAATGTAAATGGATTAAACTTCCCAATCCACAGACATAGAGTAGCTGAATGGATTACAAAAATAAGATTCAACTATATAGCCATCTACTGGAGACTCACTTTAGATATGAGGATATACATAGGCTGAAAGTGAAAGGATGGAAAAAGATAATCCATGCACATGCTAATCAAAAGAGAGCAGGAATGGCTATACTTATACCAGACAAAGTAGACTTTAAGTCAAAAACTGTCACAAAAGGCAAAGATGGACATTATATAATGAGAAGAGGGTCAGTTCATCAGAAAGATATAGCAATTATAAATACATATGCATCTAACAGCAGAACACCCAAATATATGAAGCAAATATTGACAGAATCTAATGGAGAAATAGACAGTAACACAATAACAGTAGATTTCAATACCTCATTTTTCAGTAAGGCATAGATCAACGACAGAATATCAATAAGGAAACAAAGGACTTGAACAACACTATAGATCAATTGGACCTGTAGAACACTCCATCTAATAACAATGGAATGCACATTCTTCTCATGCACACACAGAACATTCTCCAGGATAGATCACATGTTAGGTCACAAAACAAGTCTTAACAAATTTAAAAAAATTGAAATCATAACAAGTCTTTTTTAAGCACAGTGGAATGAAACTAGAAATCCATAACAAAAGGAAAACTGGAAAATTCACAAATATGTGGAGATTAAACAAAACCCTCTTGAACAACCAATATGTCAAAGAAGAAATCATAAGAGAAATTAGGAAAATATCTTGAGACAAATGAAAATTAAAACACAACGTACCGAAACTTATGGGATGTAGCAAAAGCAGTGCTAACAGGGAAACCTTTAATGATAAACACCTACATTAAAAAAGAAGAAAGATCTGAAATCAACAATTAAACTTTACACCTCATGGAACCAGAAAAAGAACAAACTAAACCCACAGTTGGTAAAAGGAAGGAAATAATGAAGATGAAGATTAAAGCAGAAATAAATGAAAGAGAGAATAGAAAAGCAATAAAACATCAATGAAACTAAGAGTTGGTTTTTTGAAGAGATAAACAAAATTGACAAACCCTTAGCTAGGCCAGGAAAAAAATAGAAAAGACAAATAAAAATCAGAACTGAAAGAAGAGACATTACAACTGATGCCACAGAAATAAAAAGAATCATAAGAGACTGCTATGTACAATTTACACCAACAAATTTGTAACCTAGAAGTAATGGATACATTTCTAGAAACATACAACCTACCAAGACTGAATCATGAAGAAATAAAAAGTCTGAACAGACCTATAACTAGTAAGGAGATTGAATCAGTAATCAAAAACTTACCAACAAAGTAAATCCCTGGACCAGGTGGCTTCACTAGGGAATTCTACCAAACATTTAAAGAATTAACACCAATTTTTGTCAAACTCTTCCAAAAAATTGAAGAGGAGGGAATACTTCCAAACTCATTCTTTGAGGCCTGATACCCAAATCAAAGAAAGATACTACAAGACAGGAAAACTACAGACTAATATCCTGCTGAATATTAATACAAAAATTCTTAACAAATTACTAGCAAACCAAATTCAACAGTGCATTAAAAGGATTATACGTCATGAATAAGCAAGATTTATTCCTGGAGTTCAAGGATGGTTCAAGACACAGAAATAAATCAGTGTAATATACCACATTAACAGAATGAAGGGCAAAAACCACATGATCATCTCAATTGATGCAGAAAAAGTATTTGACAGGCTTTCATGATAAAAGCACTCAACAAACTAGGAATAGAAGGAAAGTACCTGCACATAATAAAGCCTGAAAATGAAAAGCCCACAGCTAACATTATACTCAGTGGTGAAAAACTGAGACCTTTCCTTCTAAGATTAGGAACAACACTCTTGCCATTTCTATTTAACATAGTACTGGAAGTCCTAGTCAGAGCAATCAGGCAAGAAAAAGGAATAAAAGGCATCCAAATCAGAAAGGAAGAAGTAAAATTATCTCTGTTCATAGATGATATGATTATATGTAGAAAACCCTAAGGATTCCACAAAAAATCTATTAGAACTAATAAATTCAGCAAACTTGCAAGATACAAAACGAACATGCAAAAATCATTTGCATTTGTATACACTAACAATCAACAATCTGAAATGGAAATTAAGAAAATAATTCCATTTAAAATCTAATTGAAGAGAATAAAATAATCAGGAATAAACTTAAGTAGGAGGAGAAAGACTTGTATACTGAAAACTACAAAATGTTGCTGAAAGAAATTTTAAAAGACACAATTGGGAAGACATCTCGTGTTCATGGATTGGAAGAATTAATATTATTGAAATATTCAAAGTGTTGGAGCCAGCCTGGTTGCACAGTGGTTAGGTTCACGTGTTCCACTCCAGCAGCCTGGGGTTTGCCAGTTTGGATCCTGAGTGTGGACCTACGCACCGCTTGTCAAGCCATGCTGTGGTAGGCGTCCCACACATAAAATAGAGGAAGATGGGCATGGATGTTAGCTCAGGGCCCATCTTCCTCAAAAAAACCCCACAAATATTCAAAGTGTTCTACAAATTCAGTGCAGTCCCTATCAAAATTCCAATGACATTTTTTGCAAAAATAGGAAAAACATTCTAAAATTCATATGAAATCTCAGAGGACCCCAAATAGCCAAAACAGCCTTGAGAAAGCAAAACAAGGTTACATGTCTCACATGTTCTAATTTTGAAGCATTTTAAAAGCTATAGTAATCAAAACTGTATGGTACTAGCATAAAGTCAGATATACTGATAAATGGAACAGAATAGAGAATCCAGAAATAAACTCTCACATATATGGTCAAATGATCAT